GAATTGGATTAAATCTGGTAGTCAAAGCAGGCACTATTAATTTCTCTTAACAAATGAGGAAACTGAGTCCCACTGGTTAACTAAAAATACGGAGCCCTGTACTAAATGTATCAGGAGATTAAAAAAGGAGACCCTTAAAAAGGGGTCTTTCCTACTTTCCTCTTTCCCGTTGGGAAAGAAGGTAGAGGCAGGAGGCCCTAGGCAGACATCTCTGAATAAGCCAGTCCTGGTCGTAACTTCTGCATCTCTGGACTTCATCTGCCTCATATGTTCCCAGGGTAAGAACTTTTCCTTCCCAATCATTGCAGGCTAAAATGTTGAGCTCCTGGTGTGGTAAGATTCACATCGAGCCATTTCTTAGTATAATGGAAAGAGCTCGGGATTTAGAGTTAGAAGACCTGGATTCAACTCAAGGTTCTGCTGCTTTAGTGACCTTGGGCAAGTCACTTGCCATCTCTGAGCTTCCTAATCCTCATATGTAAAATGAGGAGGTTGAAAGGCTGCTGGAAATCCGGTGACTCGAATGTCCACTCTCCGGTCTGTGTATCATCCAAGCCTGTTGCTTAGGGTGGATTTAGTTCCCTGCTGAGTGGCATTGCCTCCAGTAGAGGGCCACCAGGGCCAATAATAGTAAGAAAGATGAAGGTGGAGGTGGGGGGATCACAATTCACATTTATGAGATAGAAATGGTGTAATTCGAAGTACCAATCATTCGATCAACAAACATTTATGAAGGGTCTACTATGTACCAGACTGTGCTCTGGCCTCAAAGAATTTATTTTCTGCTGGAAGAGACACGTTTACGGATAAAGAGAGACTCTATAACCATTCTGTGAAAAAAAGAGTTCAAATAGCAGCATTTCTAATCTACAGGTAAAAAAAAAACTCACTATGGTTCAGGGTGGGAAAGTCAGATCATAAACCTCTAGCCAGGAGGGATGGTAGAGGTCACCTAACCCCACCCCCTCATTTTATAGATGAGGGGAAGGAAGCTCAGAGAGGGGAGGTAGGGGACCGGCCCCGGGGTCACACAGCTGGTGAAGCCCACAGCTTGTGTCTCGGAGCCTGGCGCTCATTCTACGACACCAGGCTGAGAAGAGAACCCTTAAATGATTCCATCTGTTAACACATCTCATTCCAGCTTGGCAGTCTGAGGAGGTTGTAACTAACAGCCCAAATGCAGCCTGTGGGTTATCTGTGCTCCACGCTGCCCTAGTGATCACAGAGCATGGTGAGCTGGTCACTTCACTGAGCATTTTTTAAGAAGATTGGGTTTCCCTCTCATCCAGGCTGCACGGAGGCAGTGACTGTCTTAGTTTCTGATCTGGGTCCATTGAACCTTCCTTTGGTGACCCCTGGCAAATATTGGTGCCAGATTTAGTTTGGACCCTGCTTCACCAGCCTCAGCCTTCTAGCTAGCATGGCAGGCATCGGCCACTACATGCAGCAAGAACATTTCTCAAAGCAAAAGGATTTCCATCAGAGGCTCATAACCTTCCCTTGTGTGGGTCATGAACCCCTTTGGCAGGCTGGAGAAGCCTACCCTTCTCAGAACCACGTTTCTAAATGCATAGGATTATAAAGAAAACCAATTATATTGAAATACAGTTGTCGAATGATTTAAAATAAAAACAACTTCAGCGACCCCAGGTGACAAACTAATGGCTGCCTTAGAGGGAAATCCAGTCCTGGTGATTTCTCCAGCGGAGGAAGCACTGAGCGTTCAGAGTGGAAAGGAAGCCTTCTTGGGGGAGCTCTGAGGAGTGAGCTACTGAAAACTTGGGAGATGGAGTCAGGGACAGCAACAGTGCTGGGTATTGGGAAGTGCCCTGATCTTAGAGAGAAGGGTTCTGGGTTTGAATGCTGACTCTGCTACGTAATTGTCTTACTTCTGGTAAGCTGCTTCCCTTCGCTGAGCCTCAGTTTCCTCTTTTGTTTACAGAGGTTGTAGATGATCTTCAGGGTTTTTTTCCCCCCAGCACCACATTTCATGAACAGCAGCAGAGACACTGCAGCATTGGGGAGTGGGGGGCTGAGCTGCTACCCCTCCCCCCTTCCACCCAGGAGGCACAAGTGGAATGTGGAGCTGTATTACTTCTCTCTAGAAGTTTATCCTAGACCTTTGGAGCTCCCAAATGTTCTCCTTGAGAACAGAGACCTTTTCTTCTTCTTCTTCTTCTTTTTTTTGCCTTTCTTTGTATCCCTAGTGCTTAGCACAGTGCCTGACACACAGTAGGAGCTTAATAAATGCCTGACTGCTCAGATCTCCCATGGTCCTATGTGTTGCACCCCTCTTGTAACATTATATCTTATTGTAATTTGTTAGCATCTTATTTCTGAGATTGTAAACTCAAAAAGGGCAGAGACTTTGACTTACCTAACATTTGTTGTATCTGTGCCAGTATTTTTGACTCCCTCAGCAAAGCCAAGGCTAGGCTAGTCTCAGACAGTCTAGCAAAGTAATCTACATGCATCAGGCACTTCATAAGTATTTGTTGAATGAATGACCTCTCCATGCCTCAGTTTCTTCATCTGTAAAATGGTCGGGCTCAGACCTTCTCTGACTGCCCTTGCACACCTCACCTAACCTCTCTGCGCCTGTTTCCTTACGTATAAAGTGAGGGTCTTGGACAAAATGTCCTCTAAGGTTCTAGCTTTAAATCTGTGATCCTGAGACCTTTCCAGGAGGTAAAATCAGTATTTAGGGTAGAATAAAAAGGAATATGGAGACAAGAACAGGAGTCCTATGTTGCTTCTGGTAGGGTGAAAAGGGAGAGGCTTCTTGGTGTGACAGGAGGAACCTAGCTGTGCACAAATGTCTTGATGGGAATTTGAACTTAAAGGCTATTCAGGGGGGAAATGGGCTCTTGGAGAATGGGAGAAGATCCTTTTTTTACTCTCCTTCCAGGAACTGGGTCAGAGGGAAGGCTGTGCTGTCAATCCCTCCCCACCCAGCCCCCCAGTTATCCTGTATATAACTTGTTTGTACAGAGCTGTCTGGAGGCTCTTTCCTAACAGACTGTGAGCTCCGTCAAAGCTGGAACTTTTTGCCTTTCTTTGTATCCCTAGTGCTTAGCACAGTGCCTGGAACATAGTAGGTGCTTAATAAATGCCTGGTGACTTGTGGACCCCACTTCCCCTTTCTATTTCTGAGACTACCTCCTGTCAGGCTTTCCTTCCTGGGAGGGGGTTGGGCTAGATAATCTCCCAAATCCCTTCTATCTCTAACATTCCATAGTTATTATCATCTCTCATCAATGAGGCCCAGAGTTCAAGCATTAAGGACCTAGGTATTCCAGCTCCTGACTTTTGCATTCTACCTGAATACTGTTAGAATGCTGCTGAACTGTTGGGTATTGTAATCGAGTCGAGCTCAGAACTGGAAGCTGGAAATTGCTGGGTTTACCCTTTGGGGATTCATTGGTCCACAGGCCTAGTAAGAGAAGGGATTTTAGATCAGAAAGATCAGAAGCCTAGAGTGCAAAGAACCTTAAGAGACCACTAGTTGAGGGATTGGGGCAGCTAGGTGGGGCCATAGTGCACATAGTGCATGGAGGCAGGAGTTCAAATCTGGCCTCAGATACTTCCTAGCTGGGTGACCCTGAGCAAGTCATTTAACCCTGTTTGCTTCAGTTTCCCCATCTGTAAAATGAGATGAAGGAAACAGCAAACCACTCCAAGGCTTTGCCAAGAAGCCCCAAATGGGGTCATGAAGAGTTGGACAGGACTGAACAAGTTGTGGGATCGTATATGTGGAGCTGAAGGGGACCTTAAAGATCACCTAGTCCATCTTCTTTATTTTACAGACTACAGGACCTGGAACATATCACTTAATCTTCACTTGTCTGAGAATTAGTCCAAGGCTCAGAGAGGTGGCCATTAAGTGACTTGTTCAAGGTCATATAAGTAGTGGGGGGGAGGGGTTGAAGCCAGATTCCCTTGACTACAAACCCAGCACTTTTCCCACAATCCCATGTTTCCTCTGAAGTAATCCTGCATTCGGAAAAGAGCACTGGACTCAGAAGGCCTGGCTCTGAATTCTAGCTTTGCCACCTACTGCTAGGACCCATGTGACTGTGGACAAGTCACCTCACATCTCCAGTCCAGGAAGATGAAAGAGAAGATCTCTAGGATTCCTTCCAGGTCCAACTGAGGCCTGTTTCCTCCATCGGATTTCTGCAGCTTTCTGTCTTTGCCTCACTTATTGGTCCAGAAAAGGCAATGCTATGTCTCTGACAGCCAAAACAAGGCAGCGTTTGCCCCTCCCTCCTACCACTCCCTCTAAAATCATAGCCTTGAGACACAGAAGGGAGGAAATGTCAATAAACCATGTGCAGGTGATGAGTATTCTAGAAGGACATGGAAAACTCTAAGCCTTAAAAGGCAAATAAAAATCAAACGGTTTTTTTTGGGGGGGGGTCATGTGTATAGGAGTATGTGAGCAGACAGAGAGGGAGAGAGAGAGAGAGTGGACAAAGGAGATTGGCAGCACAGCTGTTTTGAAAAATGCTTCCTGTTTCTTTAAAGGAGCTCATCTGGGCGGCTGGAGGCTGGAAAGTCTCCTGGCTGTGGGAGCAGTCTCCCCTAACAGGCGGCCTGCTGACTGATCTCACTAACAGGGCTTCTGTGTAAACTGAGGCTAAGCAAACACAGATGGATCTCAGCGTGCATTCTCCAAAAATGCTGGCAATGCGGCAACGACTTCAGATGACACTGTGAGCGCTCCGGGAAGAGACAGCCTCACATCGCTCCTGAGGAGCCCCGGCGGCGCAGCTGCTAGAGAGAGGGAGGGAGGGAGGGAGCAGAGAGAGAGAAGGGGAAAGAGAGGGAGGGAGGGAAGGAGGGAGAGAGAGAGAGAGAGAGAGAGAGAGAGAGAGAGAGAGAGAGAGAGAGAGAGAGAGAGAGAGAGAGAAATACAGAGAAACGGAGAGACACAGAAAGAAAGGACAAGGAGGAAAAAAGGAAAAAGAGAGAAGAAGGGAGGGGAAAAGCCAGGGGAAAAGAGAGCGGGAAAGAGGAAGAGGAGAGAGCTAGAGAGAGAGAGAGAGAGAGAGAAGCTGGGAGAGAAGAGAGAGCTCCGGGGGACGGTGCGGGACAGACGTCCCCCTATCCCCGCACAGGGTCTCCGTGCCCCCTCCGCCGGCCCTCACCTTGTCCCTGGCAGGAGCCTAACATGAAAAGCCTCCCGACCCTCGAGGGGGGGCCATGGCCGAGCCTATGCATCAAGGAGGTGAGCTGCCCCAAAAAGCTCAAGAGGAAGACCCAGGAGGGGCCGAGGCGCGTGAACGGCTACAAAAGTTTCAGGGCGGACTTGAGAGCGCCCGAGCCCGAGGCCAATGGACTAGGGGAGCGCACCGAGCGGCTGATCCCGGCCAAGGGAGCGACCGTGGCGGCTGCTCCGCCGGAGGAGAGCCCGGAGCTGCTGCCGCTACCAGGGGACCGCAGGAGCCGAAGCTGCGGCGGCGGCCCCCGGGGCAGCGAGGTCTTAGACATGCGGAAACGCTGCTTCCCCCCGGGGCCTGGCCGAGGTCTGCCCCCGTCGCCCCCGCCGCTGCCCCCGGGCCTGGCGGCTGCTCCCGGGAGCCGGGACGGGCGAGAGGCTCCGCAGACTTTCGGGGACCAGGGCGCGCGTTCCCGGATCGTGCTGTGCCCGCCGCCCCCTCGCCAGCCCGCGCCGCAGCCCCCGCCGCAGCCCCCGCAGCCGCCGCCGCGGCCGGCGGGAAGTTCCTTCTCGTCAATTTCACACGTAATTTACAATAACCATCCTGATCCTTCAGCCTCTTCGCCTAGGAAACGGCTGGGCGAAGCCGCAGGCGTCTCCTCGGAGATCAAAGCTATCCAGCAGACCAGGAGGCTGCTGGCGAACGCCCGGGAGAGGACCCGGGTGCATACCATCAGTGCCGCCTTCGAGGCGCTCAGGAAGCAGGTACGGCGTGCACGCTCACACCCTCGCGCACACGCTCAGCTCAGCCCCTGCTCTGTAGACCCATCCCGGCGGGAGGCTTGGGGCTGGGGGCGGCCGGGCGGAGGACCTTGCCCCTCTGCCTCGCCTGCCAGCTCCCGTCGGGGGCCTGAGTTTGGGGGATTGGGGTGGGGGGAAGGCTAGTCCCCCGAGGAAGCGTGGCACTGTAGAAAGCTTCGTAATGATCAGGGGTGGATTGACCTGGGTTCCCATCCCACCTCTCCGATACTTACTGCCTGTTTGTGTCCTTAGGCGAATTACCTAATAACAGCTAGCATTTATATGGCGCTTTAAGGTTTATCAAAAATTCGATTTCCCTGAGCCTCAGTTTACTTGTCTGCAAAATGTGAGGCTTGAACTCGATGACCTCTGAGATGCCTTCTAACGAGCTCCGAGGACGCAATGCTCTGCCTCCTGTAGCTAATTCTCCCTCCCTCCTCCTCCTGCCATTCAAACACAGCTCAGAGGCTTCTTGGGGTGGGGGGGAAGTGGTTTTTACTCTCTCTCCCCTTAGACTTCCCCACCAGCCTGTAAGAGTTCGGGACCCTCCTTCCCACAATCCATGGGGTTGGTCTTCCCTTAGCAAGAAGTGTCTGCTTATCTGCTTGGAGATGGGGATGGGGATTGGAAAAAAGATGGCCTGGAATGAGAACTGACCTTTGCCCCCACAAGTTGGAGGAAGGGCTTGCCTACTTTGATGGTGGGGTGATGGTGATTTGCCTGGAATGTCTCCTTATTCCTGCCTCGTAGCCCCTTCGGGGCTCTGATGGAGCGACAACACCTACAGAAGGCCTATCCTGAGTCCCCTTTATTTTCTCCTGTCCCCCCAACCACTATTCTGAATTTAACTTATGCACATGCTCTTCCCCTTTCCTTCCACTAGAATGTAAGCTTCTTGAGGACAGGAGCTTTCCTTTTTTTTTTCTTTGGCTCTGTACCTCCTATTACTATCTCTGGGCACATAGTAGGTGCTTTATAAATAGAGTTGCATGGATGAATGAATGATGTTGATGTTGATGGTAATGGTGATGCTGATGAGTCATAACTCCTGGGGCCAAGGACTGCCATTGTCTAGTGAATTGCTTTGCAGCTGGAGAGAGAGACAGATTCCTATGACTGGGCAGTTTGGTGCCTTCTGACTTTAGACCTCATATTTCACTTTCCTGGCAGCTGAAAATTCCTGTCTTCAAAAGCTTTCCCTTGGGTTGGAGGAGGAGGAGGTGGGGGAGGAGTAGAGAGAAAGGAAAGGGAGCCTTAGAGTCCTATCACAGGGTCTGAATGGACACAGTGCCCCCCGCCCCAGCTCCAACCTGGGGGGGTGTGGGCTGGTTGGTTTGGATCTAAAGAGCTAGGAAGAAGCAGAGATTAGGAGGTAGGGCATCTGGAGAAGGAGGGAACGCTGTCCTGAGAAGTTCGTGATCTTGTCTGCTTAGAGTGTTATTGCTGGATTAGAGTGAATGTACTAGGGAAGGACTGGGGGAGGCAATCCTTGTTCTTCTCCACGCCCCGCCCCCAGCCCCCATGCCAGAGCTAGAAGGCACCAGTTTCAAAAGTACAGATCTTCTCAGTCTCTCTAAAAGGACTCCACTCTATCTAGGGGCATGTTAGCCTCCACTGTCTACATCTGGGCCACTTAACATGGTGAGTGATAGTATTCTTTGGAATACTCAGGATTTGTGAAGAGGCCAGAAAAGAATATACCCAAGACAACTTTACTTTGCCAGTGAAGCAGGGTGAGCCAAGAGCGATTCCCTGCTGAGGTGCGTGGATCATTTGGGCCCCTCTCTGTAGTGGTCCCTATTACCAGTTTAATAGTGATTCTAACCTTGAGGCTACCACTACTACTACTATGACGACTACTACTACTACTACTACTACTACTACTACTACTACTGCTACTACTACTACTACTACTACTACTACTACTACTACTACTGCTACTACTACTGCTGCTGCTGCTGCTACTACTCCACCCTCTGACTCCAGGTGGACCTGTTCCCATATAGGCAGCTATTTTGTCTATTTTAAACAGGCATTTCCTAAATACTCCCTTGCCGTGCATTAATAAAATCCTTGCTAGTTAATTATCTAGCGTTCATATAGCACTTTAGGATTTGCAAAGTGCCTTACAAATGCTACCTCATCTGCTCCCCACGACAATTCTGTGAGGTAATCCCATTTTACCGATGAGAAAACTGAGGCAGACAGCTATTAATTGGCTTTCCCAGGGTCACATGGCTAATGTCTGAGGCAGGATTTGAACTCATGTCTTCGTGGCTGTAGGTTCAACACTTTAGCCATTGGTCTACCTAGCTGCTAAAATTTTGCTGGGACTCTTTCTCTTTTCACACTTTGCTTTCTGCCATGATGGGAAGATAAAACTGGGTGGGGAAAGAGGTACCTTAGAGGCATCATAGTGTAGCAGAGATAGGAAATCTGGGTTCTTATTTTCACTTATGGTACTAAGTGGCTGTATGTCCTTAGTAAGCATGCCTCTTTACCTCTCAGCCTCAGTTTGCCTGTCTGTAGAATAAAGGGGTTGGACTAGTGATCTCTCAGCCCCCTTCCAGTTCAAGTCCCAGTGATCCACTGGGATTTCCTGGAGAGTTATAGAGCCCTTGAGGAGAAAGGTCCTGAGATGACCATATTTTTGAGCTAAATTATCATTTTAAGGGTAGGGGCAGTAGGTGGAAGAGGAGAGTTAAAAAAAAAAAACAAACCAATACCTGGGACCATATTTAGAACATAGCTTTTCATTCCTGGGGAAGGTGAACCAGGGTCATATCATCACTGACCATCTCCCTTGTGATGGCTATGCCAGCCAGCAGGCTGAGGTCCCCTTGGCATTGTCCCGCCATGGGGCAGATGTCCTTTCTGTCTGTGGCTCTGTGGGAGGGGATCCTGCAGCATCCCACCAGTCTCTGATGGGAACCCTCATGGGTTTGGACTTTAGCCAGCACTTCATACTACTGCTTTGGATGAAACCCTTTGCTTTGGAAACATTTGATATTTTTATTGATGCCCTTTCTTTTTTATATCACTTTCATTTCTGAACATGTCCCGCCCCACCATCCTTTAGAACAAATACTTTAAAAAGTGGGTCAGCGAACATAGCCAACACACCATCTGGATTTGACTGTGTATGTAGTATTCTACACCTGTAGTTCCCCACTTCTGAAAGGAAGAGAGAGAGGCTCACTTTCCAATATTGTATAAAATTCATTTACTCAATTCAATCAAAACTTACAAAGAGCCTAATATGTTCAATGCAATGACCTAAGTGCTAGGGATAAATGAAACAGGATCCCTGCCCTCAGGGAGGAAACCTTGAAGATGCCTGTTTGAATTCTGCTTTTGACATGCATTAACTGTGTGATCCTGGGCAAGTAATAACCTCTTAGTGCAACCACATACATAAGGATCCCTTTGGTCATGCTGGCTTAGAAAACCATATATTAACATTATCTATGTCCTACAGTATTTTAATTTACTTTGCTAAATATTTCCCCATTCCATTTTAATTTGGGAGTGTTACTGGTGGCTGTGCTGCTGGCTAGTCACAAGTCAGACACTCCTGCTCGAGGCAGCTCTCCAAGACTGTAAGGTACAGAGCTATGTTGGGAAGTGGGGTTCACTATCCCAATGAGATCTCAGGTCAAGTTCCATTGCCCGCCTGCCCTCCCTTGTAACCTTAGTACAAGAGCTAAGGCTCCTGCACGAATAAAGCACATGGCAGAATGGGATAAATAGGTAAGAGAGGTGGGAGCAAAGTGGAATGAGGGATCACTCCCAGCAAGGCAGGAGGGTAGGGAACCAGGGAAGGGCTCTCTAGAGGAGGCGGAAGCTCAGCTGGGCCTCAAGATCAAGTAAGATTTCAGCAGTCGAAGATGTGGGGAAGGCATTCTAGGTCAAAGAAATAAGCATTTATATAGCACCTGCTATGTGCCAGGCACTGTGCTAAGCTAAGCCCTTGACAAGCATTATCTCTTTTGATCCTTACAACAACCCGGTGAGGCAGGTCTGATAATAACAGAATTTTACAATTGAGGAAACCGAGGCAAATAGGTTAAGTAACTTTCCTAGGTTCACACAGCTAGTAAGTGTTGGAGGCCCATTTTGAACTTAGGTCTTCCTGACTCCAGGCCCAGTGCTCTATCCATTTTTACCACTGCGCTCCTCATTCCAAAGAACATTATGTGCAAAAACTTGAAGGTGAGAAAAGGTGGAGTATGAGGGAAGGGGGTGAGAGGAGAGAGAAACTGATTCCATTTGCTTGGAATGTAGACAGAAGAGCCTGGAATTCTTCTTTAGGAAGCAACAGGGAGCTATAGACAGTTTAAAAAAAACCTTTTCATTACACATATACATATATGTATATATGTATGTGAATGTATGCGTACATACACACATGCATACATGTATATATACATACATATATAGGCAGTGGAGTGACGTGATCAGACCTGTGTACTGGAAACAGGAATATGGCAACTTCCTGTGTGAGATGATACAGGAACGGGGAGAGGCTAGAGTCCGTGGGTTGCGGAGGGGTCTGGTCAAGAGGCTGTTGGAACAGTCTAGGCAAGAAGTAATAAGGACCTTTGCTAGGCTGGTGACAATGAAGATGGAAAAGATTGAATAATATGGTATATGTAAGACATTTGGCAAACCTTAAAGTGCTTATACAAATGGCAGCTGTTTTTATTAGTAATAATCTTGTTAACTTCAATCCAATGTTGGATACAATTCAATCCAACTACCATTAATTAAGCACCAATTGTATGCCAGGAACTGTGTTAGACACAGGGGACACAATAACAAAAATTAAATAGTCCTTGCTCTCCAAGAGCTTATATTCTATGGGAGGAATTCATATTATGTGAAATATACATTATATATACACACGTTATATATACACATATATAATATTATGTATTATAAACAGAAGGGATACATGGGAAAGA